CTCAACTCTCTTACACACTGACAGGATGCTAGCCAGATGAATACTGATGGATGCTGGTAGGCAGAGGCAGAATTTTCTTTTCCTTATTTTCCTCCCCAAAAACTAAGTCCGATCACATAGTTTCATAGCGAAACACAGGTATCCCCCTAGTTGTCAAATAAATGCATTGCAGTAGGAGGGTTGGCTCCTCAGCTCTTTTTATGTTAAGTAGTATCGGGATTGACAGCTTCTTAATCTCTGTGTGCTCTGTATCTCCTACCAGGTCTGTACAGGCGAACAGGTTCTTCTCTGACTTATGTTGTCTGCAGATTTCTGCATATCAAACGTCTGTTTAAGTAGAAACAATAATAGGGACAGCAATTTATTTCTTTGATGAAGTAGCACCCAACATAATACAATGTCATTCCCAAGATTATTTACATTTTGAGAAAGGATTAACTTTGTAGGCAAGACAGGCAGTCTGCAACTTAACAGCCATTTGTTTAATGACTGTTCAAATTGGCAATGGCACTGAAAAAAATGATTTATGACTGTTTTTCATACTTATGACCATTGCAGCATCTCTGTGGTCATGTGATCAAAATTTGGCAATTAGCATGTCCTTATGATGGTTGAAGTGTCCTGGGTTCATGTGTTCACCTTTTGTAAACTTCTGACAAGCAATGGGGCAGCCAGAATCATTTAACAGCCATTATTAACTTAATGACTGCAGTGATTCATTTAACTGTGATAAGAAAGGTCATAAAATGGGGAAAATTCAGTTAACTGCCCTGTTTAGCAATAGAAATTTTGGGCTCAATAGTGGTATTGGTTAAGGATTACTTGTAGTCATTATTTGTCTCCTTTAAGTCACCCAGGAAACTTAAAAGTTTGCAAACTCCTTTTTCAAACTCAACTGGTTTGGTTCAACATTCTCCCTGCAGGAACTTTGCCACAGTCAAACTTTATTTTAGTCAATTACCAACATAAGAATCGTGTTGGTATGTGTTATGTAATTTGGACTCATAATGGATGAAAACCCTGTCAACACTTCTTTGTTACTTTTATAAATTATATGTTTGATATTTTTGTAGTGTTGACATTTGACTCTGTGTTCTATATCACTTCTTAAGAGAAGCAATACACATACTTATTTCATAATACTAGCCAGGCAAAGGGAAAAAAAAGGTGTCCTTGTAACTTTTGGGAACATTTTTCTGTTCCAGTAACATACTTGCTTTTAAGTTGTGAAAGTATGAAAGATAAAGGAGAGGCATGTATTTGAACAAATCCTTTACAAAAAGGAGTGATTAAAAATTGTGGTGTATTGTTAGCTTTCTTCACTTATGCCAACAACTTGGAGGTCAAGATCTAAAGGTTACAATGAACTTGTGTGTGCAAACAAGTGATGATTGAGGGCATTTTTGTCCTCCAGGACTTGGAGCATAGTATGGATGTTTAGTTTTACAATTTCCAATTTTCTAAAGGCCTGCACTTGTAATTTGCTTTGAGAATAGCAGAACATTCTCAAGTGATTGTTTTAAACCCCGCCCCCCCAATTCAAAATCTTTTAAAAATGGTTTACAGTCCTCAAATTGGGGGGGGGGGGGGGCTATCCTTTTGATTATTTCCACCAAAGTCTGTTGTGATAGACTAGACCATTTTTTTTTGCAGCAATCTTATGCAATATATTCTGGCTGGGAATTATGGAACTTAAAAGACAGCACACCCAGAAGGCACCAAGCTGTGTGTGACAGACAAAACCACAATTTCCTCAGAACTAGGCCTCAGTCAGTGTTCTAGCACTAACCTTTGTCTAATACATAAACTTCTGCAGCTTAAATAGCACGATTGTTTTCCTTGGCAATCTTGTCACTCACCTCCATCCAACTTTTTAAATCAGAATTGCATAATCTAATCTCTTTGACTCTGAGGCATGATAGGTGCTTCCTTGGGTTAATTAAGCTTTCTTTTTTTTCCATTATCAATTCAGAATCTCAGAATCTATGGGCTGAATGCCTTCTCCTTTTAAGAGATTTTACTTCAGCACTACATATTACTACATATGTGGGATTATCTCCCTAAATGTATTTAAGTGTACTTTAAAGGAGAGATCCATGATATTATACCGGAAGGATATAATTTTACAGGTTCTTACTTGGAAGATGACAATCTGTTTTGTGTATTTTAACAACCTGTAGAACTGTTATGCCAAAAGTGACTTTTCAAATGACTTTTGGCTTAAATCCTGAGTTGGGAAATTGTCACATAGGAACTAAAACAGGGGTGTAACAGGAACTATACTCCAGGGGTGGGATTCAAATTTTTAACAACCGGTTCTGTGGGCGTAGCTTAGGTGGTGGGCATGGCTTGGTGGTCATGTGACTGGGTGGACATGGCTTGGTGGTCATGTTATTGGCTGGGTGTGGCCAACTCAATATCACTCACATAGAGGCACGTATCTCCTCGCCTGGCCTCTCATGACTGTGGGGATGCTACAACAGTCTTAAGTGTGAACAATGGTTATAAGTCACTTTTTTCAGTGTCATTGTAACTTTGAATGGTCACTCCACACAAGCAAAGTACCAGCAAAGGAGGGGAAAAAAACTCCAGAGACGTTCCTGAGATAGGATGTCTAGTCCTGCCAAGAATGTAATAAGGGTTAACGGAGAGGCAGTTTCTGTAAGCAACCCCAGAATGTTTCCTTCCTGCCTTCCTTACAGGATTAGGCCAGTAATTTCTTCTAACAACCGGTTCTCTGAACTGCTTAGAATGTTAACAACCAATTTAGCAAATAGGTGTGAACTGGTAGAATCCCACCCCTGGTATACTCCAGAGAAGAAAGAAACCCCCATCAAATCTTAGGTATGTGATATGGCCTTACCCACTTTTATTTATGTTCAGGTACTCCAGATAATATAGGGCTTCCTTCTATTTCCCCCCAAAATAATTCTGTGAAATAGTTTGTCCTGAGAAATATTAACTAGCCCAAATCACCAACCACAATTCCGTGACTATGGGTAGTTTTGAACCCAGATTTTCTTTATGCCAAACTAACAGTTTAATCACTAAACCATACTGGGGGTCTTTTCACAGTCTATCTTCCCAAGGGCTCATCCAGCCCATGTAGATGAAATGTTTGCACTTGCCTCCCCACGTTTGATAATGCTTGAAACAGTATTTCATGCCATGGCACTAGTTTAGTTTAGCATTCCTTCTGCAAAGTACGACTGTTGGAATTCTCTCTTTTACATCATGAACAGTGCAAAAAGTCTAACTTGCTTAGAAAAGCAAGTGGCTACAATCTCATTATCAAACAAACCAGCACAAGTAACGTCTCCCACGCATTCAGCCACAGCAAGCATAGGAAAACTGTAGCGCAATCATAGGGGAAACACCTTGCCGTTCATACAGCTTAATTCTCCCATCAGAAAGGAAGAGAATTAAATTTAAAGTCTGCCCACCAGATTTATCAGCACATCTTCTTAAGCAAGCCCTCATCTAATCAGCTATGGGGGGCGGGGGATAAAATGGTAAGACTGTAGTAGTTTAAGAAATTGTATCGCTCCTGCTGTTTTACTTAATGCTATATAACCCACAAGTTCTCACCTGTCCTAAAAAAGATGGAAAGGCAAGGAATTTCTCAAAAACAATTATTTCCAATCTTCAAGGTAATTTTTTTTTTTTTTTTAGAAAAAGGAAAACTATCTTTTTTATCACCAGAAAGCCTGTGATCCTGTTTTTCCAGATCGGCTTGCAAAAAAAAAAAAAAAACCTGCTAGAGGCCCTTAAGCCTGCCAAAGGAACACCATATGAAAAGCTGTTTGCCCAGCTGTTTGCCTTTTTCAGCTGTGACAGATTCATACCCTGACACATATGGACTGTTTCCCCAACCAGTAAACGGACCATATTTTACTGAACACTCATATAAACTCGCCGGGAGTTTGCACAAGAGGCTAAGTTAAGAAGGAGATTTGCCAGCCCACGGATCCGGGACAGCTCGGATCTCAGGCTACAACATTTTGCCGCCGCCTCTCTCCTTAGTTTTATCCAGATTGAAACGGTTACGGTATACTACAACTCTCCTCAACCATTGCCCAAGAAGGGAACTTAAAGTAACTCCATAATGAGCAACTTGCAAGTAAAAGGTTCGGAGGGAGGGAGAGAAAGCGGCGTTTCATTTTCACCACGGCTGGGTTTGTTGGGCTTGTTACTCATAGCTTGAAAGCTGCTCCTCTCCTCATTAACCCAAAGTAACTATCCAGGAAGGCTTATAATCACCCTAACACGCTCGAACTAGTTACCGGATTCTCCCACGGCACGACTCCAAAGGCATCCGGAAAATATTAAGGCGAAAACTCATTTAAAACTCCCTGTGCTTGGGCAACTACGGCTGTGCCGGGGTTGTGTGAACGGTTGCAGACGACGCGGGTTTTTAAGAGGAGGAAAGCTCATTCCAAGCCTTTTCTTCATTTTATTTTTATTTTAAAAAAGGAGCCCGCTTTGAGTTTCAATCGTTCGATTGAACCGGGGGGTTGAGAGCAGGGAAGCCTCTTGGACTACTAAACTGGTATACAACTGGAGGAAGAGACCCCTCTGCACACATACACGCATTTCCCCCACCCCCACCCCCACCACCACAACCACTAGATCGGCCCCGCATTTTGGAACAAGCCTCGGTTTCCCACGAGGAAACCCCCGCGCGGCGCAAGTGTTTGGAAGCGCAGGACGAGCGAGCGTCCAGCAACACGTGGCGTCATAACCTTGGAATGCCGGATCCTCCTCGCGAGCGGCATCCAAAACGGCACACACGCGCGTCTTCCCATCCCCGGGTTCAGACTAGAAGCCATTCTGACGTTTAATACACACACACACCGGCCTCTTGCCAAGCTAACCAGGATTGCCTCCGGGCATGTGCAGAGCGCGCTTGCAGGGAGGGGCAAAAAGCTGAGAGGTGGGTAGGTGGAGGGGGGTGTTAGGGATTTCCCCCCCCCTCGCCCCCGCGCGGGAGGCGCTCTTACCTTCCAGCACGACCTCCTTGCCCGCCCTCTTGAGCGCCTGCACGGCTTCGTCGTGGGTGGCATCGCGCAAATCCGCGCCGTTGACGGTCAGGATGGCATCGCCGACGTAGAGCGCCTGGGTCTGGTCGGCCGCCAAGCCCTTGAAGATCTTGCTGATGAGGATGGGCATCTTGTTCTCTTTGCCCCCTTTGATGCTGATGCCCAACCCGCCCATCTCTTGCTTCAGCACCTTGACGCACCGCTTCTGGTTGGAGACGGCTTCGGGCACTTGCTCGGGCAAGTCGGTCAGCGCCGTCCGAACTCCGACCGGCGCCTTGGGGTTCCCGCCGCCTCCGTTGTTGTTGCCGCTGCTGTTGTAGCTGCTCCCCGACGGCGACTCGGGCGAGGCCGCGCCGGACAGGGGACAAGCGGCGGCGGCGGCGGCGGCCGCCGTCCTCGACGCCCCACCACCGCCGGCTCCTCTGCCGCAGAAAGTTCCATTGCCCGCCGAGGCTGCCCCGATGCCGTTGTAAGCCGCGGCGCCTCCGCTTTCCTCGCCGCTCAGCACCAGCGCCTCGCCGCCCAGGGTCACCAGCACCCGGTGCCACCGGTCGCGCACCAAAACTTCCAGCGCGCCGCTCCGCTGCAGCCGGCCGACGCCTCCGGCCGCCGCTACCGCCATCTTTGGAGCATTTCTTAAAACACCATGTGATTGAGCGGACGGGCACACATACACACACACACGCGCACACACAAAGACGCACTCGCGCGCGGCTTACAAACACACACACACACACACAAACGCACCACGCCCCGGGAAGAGGGGAGGGGAGGGGGGAAAAAGAAGAAGTGGGTGAAAGAGAGCGCTCGGAGCCGCGTCGCCCCTCCGAGAGGTCGGCGGAGACTTCGCCAAGGGGAGGGAACCCGGGTTAAGCCAGGGAGGTGGGTTAGGGGAGGGCAGGGGCGGGGAAGGAGGGGAGGGGCGGAAGGGCGAGGCGTTCTGCCCTTCGGGACGCTCCCCCTGTCGATCCGGGGTGAGGTTGAGGTCCGGACGCTCCTCCGAGGATCGACCTGGCTGGGAGGCGTTCCCCTCAGAATGCCTACAAGCGTCCCCGGCACTAAGGGAGGAAAAAAAGGCGGCTGCTCAGGCTCCCCCATAAGTCCCGGCGCTGGGGTGTTCTGAATTCGAACCCAGATCCGGCTTCCGCCCGTCTAAAAGTAATCTCGGATCACTTTGGGGCCGTTTCTCCTAAAAACCTGGGGCTTGATTTACAACAGGTCGTTTAGTGACCGTTCAACGGTATAACATCACAGGAAAATAAGTGACTGCTGTTTTTCACACTTAATGACCGTTTTTCACACTTAATGACCGTTTTTCACACTTAATGACCGTTTTCCATGCTTAACAATCATTTTTCACACTTGACCATTTGCAGCATCCCCATGGTCTTGGCAACTGACTCATATTTAGGACGGCTGCAGATCATGGAATCGCCTTTTGCAACTTTCTGAGAAGTAAAGTCAGTGGCTAAACCAGACTCACTTCACAGCTGTGTTACTATCTTAACCCTTGCAATGATTCACTTAACAGCTGTGGTGAGGAAGGTCGTAAAACGGGCCAGAAAGACACTTAACAAACGTCTCACTTAGCAGTATGAATTTTGGCCTCAATTGCAGGGGTGGGATTCAACCGCCGTTACTATCGGTTCGGTGATTATGTTTTGCGTGCGTGTAGATAATCTTAAATTGTGCCACCCGGACAACTGATAAGCACTGCGTGCAGTTGCGCAGCATTTCAAAAGCCTCTTTTTTCCTGTTTTTCCAACCGCAGCTGTGCCGTGCAAAGCAGCTGAGGTTGAAAAAGCAGGAAATAAAGGACAGGTAAGAGCCTGGACGGGCAGGTGGGCCAAACAGCAGCAAACACAGAACCGGTTCGGTGTTTGCTGCTTTTCAGAGCTACCGGTTCTGTAGAGCCAGGCAGAACCGGTAGCATCCCACCCCTGCTCAATTGTGGTTGTAATTTGAGGACTACCTGTATGCAAAATCATTGTTCCGGTGGCTCCAGAGGTTCGGACAAGAATCCCAGAGCCAGCCTGGGACTCAGCCTTCCTTCAAAATGGCTCTCAACTCCCTGGAGGAAGGGTGGGAATTAATCAACTTTTGCTATAATTTCATCCTTGGAAAAGACTGGATGTTTGCAGGTTGCTTTTGTTCTATTTTGCCTTCTTTTTTCCCTGCACTAAGATCATCCAGTTATTTATTTATTTTCTTCCCCTGAGTCTTTTCCTAAACTAGATCATGGCAATCTGGGTGCATTAGCTTTTCATGTTAAATAACCTATTTTAAAACAGTGTCGGTGGATTGGCAGGAGCATCTGAAATCCCAGAGTTCCTTGGCTTCAACTATAGTTTTGTCAGGTTTTAGGTTTAGATTTTAATAGGAAATTCCAAGAAATGCTTCTTCCCGTTCAGTTAATGTGAGAGAAAAGTGAGTGACCCAGCTGCTAGTTATACCTCTTGGCTGCCATTGCAACTGTTAGGAGAGCTGCTTGAAAAGAGTTGTAGTATTCATTTAGTGACTGTTCATAGTTACGACAGCACTGTAAAAAGTGACTGACCGGTTTTCATACTTAAGACCGTTGCAGGATCTCCACAATCACATGATCAAAATTTGGGCACTTGGCAACTGGCGGGTATTTGTGACTGTTGCCCTGTCCCCGGGGTCACTTGATCATCATTTGTAACCTTAGTAGCTGGCTTTTGACAAGCAAAGTCAGTGAGGGAAGCCAGATTCACTTAACGATTCCATGACTCACTAAACGAACAATGATTAGCTTAACAACTGGCAAAAAGATAAAATGGAGCACGACTCACATAACATTTTAGTGTCTTGCTTAGCAAGATAAATTTTGGCCTCCACAACAGTTGTAAGTCTAGGACTACCTGTAGCTGGTTGGGAAAAAAGTCAACCTTGCTAAGCTCTTGAGTTGTCCTGGGTGTCAAACTGAAGGCCTGAGCAAGATCTGGCCCATGGGGTGGTTAGATCTGGCCCATGGAGCCTCCCTGGAAATAGCCAAGGACCGGCCTGGGGTGCCTCTGCCAGTGAAAATGCGGCCCTCCCAAACTCCACTTTTGCTGGTAGGGAGTTGCAGGAGGCCATCCCAGCTAAAAACAGAGTTCGGGAGCCCGTTTTCTCTGGCAGAGCGCTTGGGCCACAGGCGCCCCCCACCCGACACGAGTGATGTCAAGCTGGTCATGCCCACCTCGGCCACTCCCACTCGGCCCCCTGAGGTCAAACACAATCCTGATGCGTCCCTCGATGAAATCAAGTTTGTCAGCACTGGTCTAGAGCATTTCTTTATATGACAAAAATCAGCCATGAAAGATAGCAAAATAGAATAGAATAGAATGGAATGGAATAGAATAGGATAGAATAGAATAGAATAGAATAGAATAGAATAGAATAGAATAGAATAGAATAGAATAGAATAGAATAGAATTCTTTATTGGCCAAGTGTGATTAGACACATAAGGAAATGGTCTTGTTGCAAATGCTCTCAGTGTATATAAAAGAAAAGATACATTAGTCAAGAGTCAAGAATCATAAGGTACAACACTTAATAATAGTCATAGGGTACAATAGGCAATCAAATCATACTAGGAAACAGTCAATATAAATCGTTAGGATAGAAACAACAAGGTTACAGTGATAGTCATAAGCGGGAGGAGATGGGTGAAAGGAAGGATGGGAGGATTAATAGTAATTGTAATGCAGACTTACTAAATAGTTTGACAGTGTTGAGGGAATTATTTGCTTAGCAGAGTGATGGCGTTCGGCAAAAACTGTTCTTGTGTCTCGTTCTGGTGTGCAGTGCTCTACAGCGTCTTTTTGAGGGTAGTGATATCTATGGTGAGAGTTATAGTAGAGTAACAGTTGATAGGCCATTGGTTCTCTATTCCCCACTTTCTACTAGTTCCTTTAAAGTTTGCATGCCTTTGACTAAGACAAAAACCTTCTAAAAAGCAAGGCTGGGCATAATTCCTGCACAGCAGAGAAATGACTCATATTTCAACCTCCGTTCCTGTAATCTTTGACTTAAATGACCATAATGCAGCCTACCAGTTACTGTTGTAAGTCATGACTATCCATGAAACAGATCATCAATCTGTAATCCAATCTTTGGAGCAATTTTTTGTTTGTTTGAAGTAATCCTAAGCAAATGCTGCAGTTGTTAGCAAACCCATTGTTTGCTTAGGGATATTTTTGCCAAACATTGGAAGTAAATCAGAGGTGGTATTCAGCAGGTTCTGACCAGTTCTAGAGAACCGATAGCAGAAATTTTGAATATTTCGGAGAACCGGTGGTAACCTTCCCCCAGGAGTGGGGTGGGAATGGAAATTTTACACTATCCTTCCCCTGCCATGCCCCAAAAAACACACCCACAGAACCAGTAGTAAAACCTTTTGAATCCCACCTCTGAAGTAAATGCTGGTTTTTGGCAAAAACGTCATAGCTTGAGTTGACATGTCTACAGAATGCTGTAAACAGCCATAGATGTGGTCATGTGACCATGGGGCAGGGCAGCCATTAAAATTTAAGAATCAGGTCATAACTTCGTCGGGGAGGAGACCATCATAACTTCAAACGGTCACTAAGTCAGCTGTTGTAAATCAAGGATTACCTGTCATGTAGAACTGAGTTGCAAGGATTCTATCCACTCTGTTCAGATACTAAGCAGATAATTAAGCCACTGCATTTGATTGGATCGCCGTAATCGCTTTGTTTGATCTGGAAAGCAACGCTGGAAACTTCAGCTGTTGCCAATTTTCAGCCAGTAAGACTGGGTTGGTAATCCCATTAACTTTCCCCTCATCTGCATTAGCTTCCCTAAATGGTTTCAGGGCACAATTCAGACTCATGACTCAGTGATTATTTAAATGGGTTACAGCCACCCAACTCTGATGGACTCCGGGCAGCATACAAAACATGCAAACAGCGAAAACAATTTAAAACATAAAACCGCACAGACTGCCCAGAATAAAGTGATCATAAGGGCAATAAGGAACCATAGTAGGGCTTTGCAAAATATATTTTAATTTATCGTAAGCCTGCGCAGAGTTACCGTGCGGCAACATGGGCAGCTCATAATTTTACAAATATAGATAAGCCCTTGATGTACAACCACAATGGAGCCCAAAATTTCTGTTGTTAAGTGAGACATTTGTTAAGTGAGTTTTGCCCCATTTTACGACCTTTCTTGCCACTGTTGTTAAGTGAATCCCTGCGGCTGTTAAATTAGTAACAGGGTTGTTAATGTGAAACTGGCATTCCCGTTGACTTGGCTTGTCAGAAGGTCGTAAAACATAAACTTGGAACACTACCACCGTCATAAATATGAGTTGCCAAAGCATCCAAATTTTGATCACGTGACCGTGGGGATGCTGCAATGGCCATGTGAAATATGGTCATAAGTCGCTTTTTTCAGCCCCATTGTAACTTAGAGCAGTCGCTAAATGAGCTATTGTAAGTTTAGGACTGCTGTAAATATTAACTCCAGACCAAAGTTGGGTTTTAAGGGCTTTCCAGAAGCCCTGAGGAGAAGCTGCAGTTTATATCTCTTTGGGGTGAGGGTGCTATTCCATACGGTGGGGGCCACTCAAGAAAAGGCCTGCTTCCAGCGTTGGGATTCAAAAAATTGTATTACCGGTTCTGTGGGCGTGGCGTGGCTTGGAGGGCGTGGCAGGGGAAGGTTACTGCAAAATCCCCATTCCCTCGCTACCCCACTAACCTGCTTTCCAGCTCCGTTCTCCTGTGCAGCAACCAAAGAAGACCCAGCCGATCAGCTGGGACTCAGTGGGAGGCAGAGAATAGGTGGGGGCGGGGCCAGTTAGAGGTTGTATTCGCCAGT